GCCAAGATATGGTTGGCATCTGAAGTTTATTTCTTTAGTTTTGCACTGGAGCTACACGGCTAGTGTTGCTAATGAAAGCCTATACTCCACCAGTTTGCATGGTGCAAACTCGACCTTAAATGGTTGGGTAATCTCGAATAGACTTGCTAGACTTGTGGTTTCTGATACTGTATAATTGTTATCTATAAAAATGGACAAAAATTAGACTTCAATTTGGCTGTTTTTAGCTATGCAGTGTGCTTTTATCCATTTCTGTATATAACAGTAAGTTAAAAATGCTACAAACCAGTCAGAAGTGCAGCCTGTCATTTACATACCAAACTACATATTCAGGTAATTAGGTCTAAATACAATATCAAAAATAGGGTTTTCTATAAAAATGGACAAAAGAGCCATCTGCAAAACAGGCATTTTGCCCAAACATTGTTCTTTTTTATAGACAACAGTGTGTCCTGCAGTGTCAAAACCCAAATAAGCAAGTCTGAGGTGAGTGTTAATGATTTAGGCATGCAGTTTGCACATATACTTAAATAATTTCAAGTCAAAGCCCAGTGATAAACTTGACCTGTACACTTTGTGAACTTTAAAAAATTTGGTGAATCTTTCCTGTCAGTATGAGGATGGCTCTACATTCTGGGGTTTCATCTTCTGCACTACAACTGGGAATTTCTGTGCAGAAAGCAGGCCGCCGGTGACAAATCTGCTGGTGTTCCACTGGCCTGCCAGCAGCGTTTACCCCGTTAACCTTGTCCTGCATACTCAAATCCTGCGACACTCGGCCTACAAAGAGGAACCACTCACATCACGATCCGCTACACTAAAATACACACCATCCCTTACGGGCTCCCACCAGTGTCTGCAGATAATGGCATTTTAACGCCCTCCAATATTTCTTTTTCATTGGCTGTCTTGCTCGCACGCTCTCTCTCTCTCTTTCTCTTGTTCATGGCAAGGAGCCCACATGCAAGAACTGTGCTTGTGTGCATATAAGAAGGATGTAAAGTTGAAGGAGATAAGTCCCCGCCCATGTTAATCCATGCTCTATATGGCTGTCATACAAGACAAATTCAACAATGCTAAGAGGGATGAAAGTTTTTTTTTGTTGTTGTTTTTTTTTTTAATTTGTGCTTATTTTTACGATTAGTGTTTAGTGTTTATTTAGTGTCTATTTAAATTCACACTTTTCCTGTTTACTTTCTATTTAATGTTATTGCTACACCATGGGGTCTGAGAGTAACGCAATTTCAATACTCTGTATGTCCTGTACATATTGTAGTATTGACAATAAAGCTGACTTGACTTGACTTGACTTGAAAAGTGGTGTGTAACATTCTATGTTCATAAAAGGTTGATAGAGCTTCAACTTGTGAGGTCACAACCATGAACACATTTCCATATGACCAACCATGCAGCCTACTAGTTTATCCTTGGCCATTCAGCCTGCAAGAGTTTACCATTCACACTGTGATACGTGACAGAGTGTTGTTACTGCATAAGGTCTGTAGCAGAGATACTGTCCCAATCAGAACAGGGTTTGTTTACATAAATAAGTCTTAAAAGCAGAGTAAACAAAAATAACCTGTTACGTTTTAGATATAGAACAGTTGGACAATTATAAATATTTCAGTAAAAGGAAAAAAATTACAAGAAAAATGAAGAGGCCCATATCCTAATTTTTTCTTGCACTCTATTGTTCATTCTTTATGTATAGTTATGACGTTTGTGTCGTTTTATGTATCAAAAAGAATCTTAATTCATCCCTTAGACTTAAACAGACTGTTACTGTGTGTTTAAGACTGATATATGTACATGAGCTCGGCTTTGATTGGCTGCCCTGTATTGTGCCTCATTCAAAAAGCAGGCTGGGCTGAAACGCTCCTTACACCTTCAGTGTGAATGGGTAGGGCTAAACTACTGAATACACAAATATATGTAAACAATATGCTTTTTCATGGCTTCACACAAACAACGAATTAAACATAGGCTATTTCGTCATATGTGGACTGAAGAGCACAAAATGTTTTGAAACTTTAGCACTTTTATTTCAAAAAGGCAAAGAAAAATTGTCTTTCTTTGATACGGGCCCTGTAATGTTAGCAACAGAAGCTACAATGCAGGCCAGCATATGCTTGTTTCTATGCTATCTGTGTAATGCTAATCAAGCAGGTAAATGCAAACCAAACTATTAAAGCAGGTAGAATCATAAGCTTTGTGTTTGGGGAAGAAAAATGTTTGACATTTGACTTACCTGAAAAATTACCTGAAAACTCCTACTTTCCATTTTAACATTGCTAGCCTGTTAGCAGACACTATTTCTTTCACACATCTAAATTAAACTCAAACAAAACCTACAGTGGGACAATTTGGAAAATGTCACTTAGACAAGGTTAGAGGTTTGGTGCGAAGGATTGGAGCAAATATACACACTGTTATAAATAAATATGCTGAGTCTTGATTCTGACTCACTTGGCCATATGGCTTAATAAGCATTTTGCCCTTGGAGTACGTTGCTGAATTATATACATGGTCCAGAAAAGGCTCAGAATTAACTATATAGTGAAATTCAGTAACACGTTGTGTGATGCGGAGAAACTAGAAAACTATTAGATTTGTAGGCTCAAGGACAGACTTTAATCTTGTGTTATTTCTAGAGAGCAGGGGTTTCTGAATCGAGCAAGAGTATGGCTCCATCTAGTGTATGCTTTGAGCACTTGCATATATTTTCTCTGGTCAATAGCATCGGCCGAAAACTCTGACCAGCCCAAAACCATCAGTAAAAACATTTTATTTTGGGCGTGGCCCATTTTTTGCCCGAGAGTGTATATAAATCTACAAAATAAACAGCTTAGATAATAAACAGAATAAGTACTTTTATAGCCATTCACCAAAACCTTTGTTAAAGTGGCCCTGAGCAACTGGCTAATAATTAATTTTGTGACCATCCATACAATCTTATAGTAAAAGGCTACAGGTTCGCAGTCTTAGAAATTAATCTTGTCTGTAGAGGTCGGGGGAGGGTGGGGGTTTAACAGATTATGTATCTAGCTCCATCTAGTGTCTGCTACAAATACTTAAAACAGGCAAAAGAAATGACAGGGCTGGTCACCCTGTTCCTGTGAAAACACACATTACAAATGTTAAACTGTCGTTCAGTTGAGTTTTGCAGCTGTCCATTTCATTTTCATGTTGTAGTGCTAGCCACAAAACTGATAGTAATCAGGAAGATTATGTACTTGTTTGTCTATGTAGAACGCATAGGCAAAGATACTCCCAGCAAATTTCATTCAGCTCTGCAACAAGTCAATCATTCATATCAGTTTGTGTTTTTATTGTGCTTATGATGGTTTCCTGTTTAGCTTGGAAAAAAGCTCTGCAATATAATAACACGACACTGAACCGCAATGCAACAAAGCTGTGTGTGGTCAAATCTGATCGTAAAATGAGCCAGCAGGCCCTCTAGTGGCCATTCTGCAGGCATAATGGGAATCAGATATTTTTGATCAATATATTTTACCCTGTAGCTCTGTTATAAGATTAGCCAGAACACGGTTGACTCTCCATGAAATGCTGTGACTGTGTTGAGCTGCTAGTGAGTAATGAGGGGTGAAAGGGGAGAACGTCCTGTTGAGAAAACAATTCACACCTCTCCACAAAGAGGGCCGTGTCAAGATAAAACAGCACAAATGCAGCTTTGCTGATACTGAAATATTGAAAACAGCCACAATTTAAAAAAACAGCTTTTAAATACAAGTTTTATGAATGTTGATTTGTTTGTTATCTACGAAGACGAAAAGGTTTTGCTAAGCATACACATTTCCATCAAAATGTATTACATTCCTGTTATTAAGGGAAAAAATGTATAGTTTAATCAAGGGACCTCCTCCAAAATATGGGGAAATTGCCATTACTTTTGCACATTTGTTTTATTTTTTCCCCCAATATGTTATATTTAGCAAATAATCAGTAATTGTGCATTAAAGTGTGCAGAACTTATTTTCTCTTAGAAAATGTAATTTGACAAAATTTGCACGGATATTTTTTCACATTTACCACCAAGTAGATCATCTTTAACCAATGGATGACCAGATGGTCATGTTATATGCCACATCATCTAGAATCCGAGTTTCCCAGTTGTAAATATGACTTGCTTGACCAAATGAGTGCAATTGCTATTCCACAATTTCTGACAAAACCTGAACGTAGCATTAGTTACCAGCATGTAGGCCTGTCACAATTATTAGACAGTTGCCTAATCGCAGTTATTTAAAATGGTCACAATTATTTATGCCTGACTCCAATCGTTTCCACAGCCATATTCTGCTGCAACAAACACAATATGAGTTTGGTGGATTGGGTGGAGGCACTGTAAAATAATAGATAGCAGGAAAGGCAGTCATGATGGGGCTTATGAACACAAAATAAAGTTTTAAAGTCTAACTTGGTGCTCCAACATGCTTAGAGGGCAGCACTGAGTAATGTTTATTTGTTGGATGGCTGTGTAGAAAACATTTTAGCACGTATGAGCTTTTTTTTTTTATTCTTGTGAAGAACATGCCTAACTCTACAAATAATTCTGTGTAATAGCAGACGTTTGTGTGTGTGCATGCACAACAGTATTGATTCAACAGTACAACCAGTGTTAGCTACTAAGTAAGCATAGCTAGCAGATAAGGTGCTTAATTAATTTAGACTAGCATTTTAATAGTTGCGTACAGTAAACAAGACAATTAAAACATCAATCGCAATTATTTATGAAAATTAATAGCTAAAATGTTATGATTGTGACAGCCCTATGAGCATGTAAAAAAGTAACTCATTGATCTGATAGAAGCTTATTTGCGTATTGTGGCCTTCTGGAGTATCTAAGGGGAAAATCAACCTGATGAGGCATCACAATTCAACAGCATCTATAAGTTGACCCACACACACACTCAAAGAGAATGGTCACATTTCAGATCAGTCTTACTCCTTCTTTCTACACGACAGCACACAATTGTAAATCTGTCCCCTTAACTTTTTTATTCTTCTTTTGAAGCCATAATATCTTACAGATTGAAAAAAAAACATGATGCTAAAAATGTTTTCAGGTGTAAGTGGTAATGCTGACTGCACTTCAATGGAGTTAACGAATTACACTGATCAGATGTACACCCATATGCGTGTGCTATCTAAACCCAGTAATGCCATGATATATCCAAGGTGGAGCTGTTGTAATAAAAACAATACTAGTTCATTTACAAAACAATACACAAATTTGGAAGTGTGAGATTCATTTTTGCCCTCCCCAAGTCTCTGTTACGTGCTGATAAGGAAGATCGGTATATGAAAGAAAGAAAAAAAAAAAAGAATACAAATAGGAAAAAAATGCTACATGCACCCATCACCAAAAAACATACATTATATCAGGTATTTATCTCTCGACCTTTAAAATGATTAAGACAGAATCATGTTAGTATTTCCGTAAAATAATGATAAGAATTCGAGACATGGGGAGAGAGCGAAAAAGAAAGAGAGAAAGAGAGAGGCACTGTGGAACTCCCTCTAGCTTATGATTCTTACAAAACTGATTTGATAAAAAAAAAAAAACACACAAAACAAAAAACAAACAAACAAAAAATAAAAACACAAAAAATCTGCAGAAATAATCTCTCTTAAGTGCGATTGCTCTCCTTCTAATAAACGGTCTGTCTGTTTCCAAGGTTATGTTGTTTTGGACCCTTTGAGGTGATTGTTTGATGAGTTAATTTCCGCAGCACTTGCTAGTGGAGGCCTGAGGGGCGGATTCTTGCAGATCCACACCGGTCCGGCCCCGCCCACTCGCCCCTCCACCACCCTGAGGCTCGTTCTTCGGCAGCTTCTTAGCTACAGGAAGAGAAGCACCTGTTACCATTCATTCACTGCATCAACATGACAAACAACTGTCAAACACACTAACAGTGAAGCTAAGGTCAATAACACAATAACTAATATTTATCTGTTATTTCTGAGCACATTTCTCTTCATTAACTCATTTTAAGTAAGAGTAAGTACTCAAAGAAAAATTTATTTCAATTTAAATAAGCACTAAAATGATCCCATAACATTTGTCTTGCACATGATAATGTATAAAAGCACATACTTCCCATTTCTCTAATGAAAACACAGGCATTTGCAGCTATTTTTAAAAAAATGTATCAGCTTATTTTTTGTAATATTTATTTTAATTGGCACTTACATACTCATCTAAAACCAGTTCTAAGACTTTGAGACGTTAAGACTGTGCTTTACCAATGGCCATGAAGATCTCATTGACGTTCATTGCAGTTTTGGCGGAGGTTTCCATGAACAGCAGGCTGTTTTCATCAGCATATTCCTGAGCCTCCTGTTCAGGGTTATAGATCCACATGTTAAACAGATCATCATAAAGCAGACAAGCAGTCTATGACCTTGGTTTGGATCTGAACAGCATTATTTGTGCTTCAGTCAATCAAACAAACAGGTCATGAGAGGGGTACAAAATGCATCTGAAGATGGCAATTCATAGTCAAGTATAATAACACTTAAAGTTTGCGTTCATTTATGGTCCAAAATAAACTTTTGCAGCTATTTTCTTATCAAAGATCCACATCCCTCTCCACACAAAAGAAAATCCAGATGTGTTGTTTTTATTGTCCCTACTGTGTGACTAGTTCCTCCATCACATTTGTGTTATTCCAGTGTTTTTTAAAAAATAATTCTGAACTGTACCAAAATAATCAGATCAAACTCAAATCACAGTGAAATGTAAGGCTTCACGATGCACTGAACAGTTTCCAAAAGAATCATAATCAAATTAAATTGCTGAGGTAAGATAAACCCCAGCTACTGACACACACACACACACACACACACACACACACACACACACACCTGGAAGTCGACTGCTCTCTTATTGGCCAGATCGGCTTTGTTCCCGGACAGAGCAATGACGATGTTTGGACTGGCCTGCCGCTGCAGCTCCTTCACCCAGTTCTTAGCTCGCGTAAATGTGTCCTGAATACACAGCAACAAAGGAATGTGTCGTTATTACGTTATCTGCAATACCTATGCTACTAACAATTATTTCTGTAATCAATTAATCTATCTTCTATTTATTTAATTGCATAATTCTACAATTGTGAGTTTTTCTCGCTTTGCCGGTACAGCGTTGTCTGTACAACAAACAGGTTCTTCTTTAATAGTATAATGAAACAAATAAAACCATTTTGCCACCTACTCGTTTTTGTGGTGTACTGCAATCTTTCAGAATTGCTATGTGGATCATATGAGTATTTTAAAAACATTATAAAATTTTTCTTAAATAAAAAAATAATAGCCACATCACCCCATCACTTTCTGTAGTGTACAGGAAAGACTTGGAACATTATTCTGGTTACCCATGATACATCTACCAACCCATTTCAACCTGCAGTCCACATATCTAAGGGTGCATCAGAGCTCCACAAAATACATATAATATTGCTATTGTATTGAAACAGCAATAATATTGCAGCATATTAAGAACACATGGGTGAACAATTAATGTTGTTTTGACCTATATTATTATTCTGTTTAACTATTTCACCTTGAGTCATAACTTTGCAATCTGCATATTTTGTAACAGATGCTGACCCAGTATCCATGTATACATCCAGTCAATACAAATGCATTAAAGATATGACCCAGCACTTCAGTAGTGTAAGGTATGTATGAGTGTGTTGTTTTACTGTACTGTATTAGTAATCCAGTGTGTATGAGTAAGAGTGAGAGAGTATTCTCTTACTGTATTAGTAATATCGTAGACTATAATGGCAGCCTGAGCTCCTCTGTAGTACATGGGGGCCAAACTGTGGTATCGCTCCTGCCCAGCAGTATCCCAAATCTCAAACTTTACTGTCGTATCATCCAAGCATACTGTCTGTGTGAGGAACGCAGCTAGACATAGAGGAAAAAAACCTCACATTAGTGTGCATTTTAACTATTGTACATTTCATTTTATGCACAGTAATACCCACTTCATAATAAATATGTGCTCTTCATAAACACTGCATTTTACTTCCAGTCACATTAGCCATGGTATGTCTTTCGGTAATTAAATCAAATTTCAAAGCCACAACGTTCACCCCTCCCAACATCGCTAACATACGGGACTTATTTCCTGCAAGGTGAACTTGTTAGCTTAAGCAAAGCCAGTGACACTAATGGTAACATGGGAGTAGAATATCAGGTTCTCTGGCATTTCTACTGTATTTTGGAGGGAGGGTGGAGGGAGATTTCTAGAATACTGAACAACTACATGCATCATTAAAAAAAGACACACTTAGACCAATTATAGAGTGCAACAATCACTGCACAGTAAAAACAACAACAACAACAACAACAACTACACTGTAGCAACTACATAAATTGCATAGTAACAGAGCAGGTTTATTTTATTTTACAAATGTTAGCAATCATATTTTTCTTTCGGTTCTTCCTTAAATATTTACTTTTAAAAAAAATGCTGACTTTGCTGGTGCAGTTTGCTCGCTCCAACTTGTTCACAAATTACATAATTACATAAAAACAAAAAGAAATCACATTGAGCACTGCTAAAACGTCTCTAAGGACCTGTTTACACCTTACATAGACATGTGTTTTTGGTGACTGTATCATGTTTGGATTGCACCTGACTGCATGAAATACTCCATTTTGGGTGAAAAGTGAAAATGGAATCCAGGCAATGTGTTGTGTTTTTTTAGTGTTGTGATACAATTTTGGTCATATTGCTCACCCTTAGTCCAGGCTTTGTAAGGCGGCACGCTATGGACAAAGTGTGCAATAAAATAGTTGGATATTGTGATGATGTAAAATGCAACAAATGATCATGTTCATTCGGCAGTATATAATAGTAATAATAGTATTTGCATACCCTACTCGCATTCTTTTGATTAAGAACACGTTACTGTAAGCACTCCTTTACTAAAAAAAAAAAAAAACAGTAAAAAAGTACTAATAGTTACTTGCAGCACAACTGCAAGCATTCCCTCAACAGCTTTTCCTGTACAGGTGCAAATATTAACAAATAAAAATATGTAATTGCTTAACATGTTTCTAATGGTGAGGCAAGCTTGCTGAAATATTTAACTGTTTGAAATGATGCTTGGGATTGATAACAGTCAACTTTTTTAAACCCTTTTTTCCCACAGCAGCCATAAAATGCAATTTCCACCCTAAGCATTTTTTAACACTGAAAGAAAATATTTTGATGAAAATGCATACAATAGAAACTGGCAGCAAATCTTTGAAGGCGAGTGAGCAAGTGTTTTTATTGTGGCAATTTTACTGCTATGAAGAAAGGCGCAGCTGTGCCGTCAGCTTTATTTCCGCACGGCCATCTTTATGGAGAGGTGTGGAGTGCTTTCACAGCAAGGGCTTCTCACCCCTCCCCTTTCACCCCTCATTGCTTACTAGCAGCTCAATACAGAGTTCAACACAACGTTTCACACACAGAGAGCCAATCCAGGCAGCCACTCACCTCCAATTGTGCTCTCCTGGTACTCATGGAACTGTCCTTTGACAAATCGCAGGACAAGGCTGGACTTGCCCACTGCCGATTCTCCAAGAAGAACTAGTTTAAACTGGCAGATTTTATTCCCTGCGGCCGGCCCATTGGGTCGACCCGCCATAGTGCCACAAAGATTCTCTGCTGGGGCGAGGTGCTCAAACCTGGGCCACAGGCCACAGGGACAGAAAGAAGAGACGAAAGACTGGAGGTCCTGAGTTACGACTGGTCAGGTTAAACCGTCTGGTCCCAAGGCAGGCTTGACGTCCCTAAACAAGAGGAGAAAAAAAGGCAACGATTCAGACAACTCAATGTACTACAGATATCACATTTAGTTACATGGACATAACTTATTACTGACCAATAAATTATTTATAAATACAATACAGAACAAGTGTTATATGAATAAACGTGACCAGCATTTAAAATTAGATATCCACAAAACTAACAAAAATTAGTAGGAGCTCACAATAATATTGGTGTATTGATACTGGCAGATAATGTGAAAAAACAAGTTATAAAATAGCATCACTGGACAGATGTTTGGATTTGAATGATGTGTCAAACAGACATTCAAACATGTTTTTATTGTGCTCCAAAAGTAGATCTTTTAGGTGACGCTGCGCTACTATACAAAAATGTTTGCATTTTATTCGTTGTGCTGCATTTGTAACTCTAATAGACATACATTTTATATCTGTGCGTAATGTCAATTCAGGTAGATGCAGTCCCAGTTTCTATGTTTCATGAATATTTGCCTTTCGATACTGCCATCGGCAGATGCACACATGAAAAAAAACGGACATTGGCATCGGCCTACAACTCTGCTTTTGCAAAGCCAGCAGTCCAAATAGGCCAAATATTGACCTCCCAGGTGGCAAAATGAACAAGAAGACGCACAAGCTACAACTTACAGTTTGCAGCATGACCTACTGGACGAGAAGGTATGTTTCCGCAGTCCCCAACCACACTTACCAGGAGATTTATCAATTCCTCTTTAGAAAGATGTAACTTACTGGCCCGATCTGGGAAACATTTAGGTTCAGAGACACACAGTCTACACGTTTCCCAACAACTGTGTAAATCTGCCATCTAGTTGGGAAATATAGACCTTTCCCGAGAAATAGTTTTGTTCCTTGCCTTATAGAGGACTAGCGGTCATGAAAGTGGAAAAAGGTATACAGACACCAAGATGAACTACTCTTTCCCTTGTGAGGGCCTACGAAACAGTAATGGTCTTGTCAACAGAGATAGCCCTAAGTATCTAGGTTAGGTTGAAATAACACATAACAACAAATAAGCATGATTACAGGAAACTGTGGCACAACGCAGATAAAAATCAGTAGAATTACATGTAGTCACAGATCTGAGGGCAGCATATATTGATACAATTAACGTTTTCTGCTGTCGGTCAAGCTTTTGCCAGGCTCTTTTTCCTCCTGTATTCATGTATTATTGAGGAACTGAAGAAGATTACTGTGCACCTTTACACCGTTAAGATGAAAAACGAAAGCACTAAACGTGAGACAAAAGCTGTGACTCATTAACAGCCCATGACATGAAGGAACTTCCCTAAACCGATTTAACTCAGTTGAAATGCCTCCAAACCAAGTTACCAAACTAAAATAAGAGAAAGAGTTGAGCTGCCTTACCTGAAACCTGTCCTTTTATTTATATATATATATATACACACACACACACACACACACATATATATGCATACACACTTTTAAATATAAGCCATTTTATTTACTATCCAAAACCATAAGTGAGCCTTTATGCGTCTTCTGAATTTACATATGTAATGTTGATGATGGTAAAATAGCTAAATATTGGAAAATAATGTTTTCTTTCGGGGACTATTTGCCTCACAGCGCTGTGGTATGTACTCCTTTGCAATGAGTGGAGTAAAATAAATGGATTAAAATAGAGTTTAAACCAAATCTTAGACACAAAACATAATCATAAATCATAAAACAATGTCTCAGACATCAGTCAGCGTATTCATAACCACTTCATGTCATACTTTTCTGTGAGGGAGCTTTTAAAGGTGGACGTCTGGCTCCTCTCACCACCACTGTGAACAATTCTGACTCTGTGCGTTGTTCCTCTAGAACTGAATATTTCGCACCGCATCACTCTGGACGACTTTGTTTACATCTTAACCATTTAACGGCTATGTACAAATTTCAAAAAAACAGTGGACTTGCCCTTTAACCGTCAACAATTATACACTGCGTGTTAGACACTTTGTGTTCTAACAATACTTATCTACTATTTAAATATGAAAGAAGAAAACGGCACAACGAGCCTCAGTGAAATTTGTTTCCTCCACAACTGTTTCAGATGACTCGATATGACTCGGCGTTAAGTTACTTCTCATTCCTGAGGCGCTAACCAGTTAGCTTAGCTTAGCTCGCTTTCTGTAACTAGCCAGGCTTCTTCGCTGGGTCACCAACAGCAACTCCACGAAATATATTAACCTACAACATTTCTGCTGAATGTACTAACTACGGCGTAAATTCGTCATATGGGAGAGCTGACAGCTTAACTGTGTCGGTTTACGGCTGTCATCGCTCGCTAACGCAGCTAACGTTTGCTAGCGTGCTAAGCGTACTCTCGAGGAAGGCGCGAGCCGGCTCGAGCTATTCAGCTAAGGCTCGCGGTTTGGACTCCTGCAGAGCCGCTCACCTCGGCGATGTGTTTATGTGTCGTTTAAGCAGTAGCAGGTGTCCGCGTCCTCGTCTGCTCTCTCTCTGCTCCTTCCCTGTCAAAACATGACGGCTCTCAGCGTTTATTCGGGCCTTCGCTTCGCTTCCGACTCACATCCGGATACGAAGAGCTCGGGTGATCTGTGACGGAGCGGCTTCGTCCCAATCGCACACTGTTCACTGTACCCTGTACACTAGCTAGCTAGGTAGTGAACAGGGGCAAGCGGAACAGCCCAAACCCCACAGCAAAATAAACGTAACTTCAGTTAAATTGTGATTCAAGCCAAAGAGAAAGTAGCAGACACAAAAAGGTCAGCACATTAGCAAGCTAAAGTGGCTAGAGTAGCATAAAATAATGCTTTTACTAAAGTAAACGAAGTGGGAATTCAAGCAGAAATAAATGCAACACCCCACCAAAAAAAAAAAAATAAAAAAAAACAACACAACCAAGCAAAAAAACTTAGTGTTAAATAACGAATATTAGAACATTCTAATACAAAAACTACACAGTATAAAATTCATTAGTGGACTAGAAAGTGAGCAAGCTAGGTAAGGTTAGGTAGAGTAGCTTCAAATTTTAGTCAAGTAAAATTATTGTTACTTTAATTAAGTGAGCATGACTTTAACTGGTTGAGCGTGGTTTAGCAGAGACTTGATATATATAAAAAATATATATTGAAATTCAGTTTCAAATATTACTAAATAAAAGCACCAAACCTTTGCTCAAACATGCTCTCAAATATATCTGTTTCTACATTAACACTACATACATCTATTTCATTTAAAAGTATGTAAGAAAAATGTAATACCTTATCTGCGTCCTTGACTTTTGCCACTCTCCACGTCATTCCAATGTATTTCAGCACATAATGGAGAGTAAATTATATCATTTGAGCATTTATGGGAGCTCAAAAGCTGGTAAATCTTGTTTATATTGTGTTGATCACAGGTTGTTTTCTCCATTCCGTACACCCTCACACAAACTAGGCAGAGAAGACAATTTAAATGGAAATTTCTACATATATTTAAACATTTCTGTATAATTCGGTAGTTGAGATGTAAGCAGTCATTGAGTCATTCATTGTCCACAATGCAAATACATACATTTTACTTACTAGCCAAAACAAACAGCGAACAAACACGTGTCTGAGTTTTTATATGTAATGGTGATGAAAATGAAATAGTAGTAAATCTAAAAAATCGTTTATCTTTGCGGACTGTTTTTGCCTTAGAACGCCCTGCGTGTATCCCTCCGCCAAAAACCCATTTTAGACCAAAACTTCATCTCAAAACGATTGTAAAACAGTGTCTCAGGCATAAGGCCAAGTATTTGTAACCATCTAATGTAATAATATTCTGCAAGGGATCTTTAAGAGGCACTAAAAACGTCAGACGTCTGGTTCCTATCACCACCGCTGGGGTAAGTTAATTTAAAACGGTGCATTTCCCAAAAAATCACTCTAAATGACTGATTGTCTGTTTATGTGACAGCGCTATTGTACCAGCAGAGGGCGACATAATCAAACTTGTGGCTTTCCCAAACGCGTTGCTCTTTGTGAATCTATGTTGAAGACCACTGGAGGGTGAAAACGCTCTGTATGTGGGCAAATGATGTAATGTGGATTGTTTACTAAAGAATGTCTGGTTTGAATTTGAGTTATTTCAGTTGAACTATTATACTACCTACTCAGCAAAACTAAATGTTTAGCCGAAGCATTTTGAGGTTTTAATTAGAACACATACTGAGACTTGACTTATGGGTTAGAAGATAAGGCACTACCCTGCTAGAAAGCCAGCATAGACCAGCATTGCTGTGTTTTGGGTGCTGCCATGCTGGTCAAACAGGTGACCAGCTTAAACCAGCACTAGATCAGCACTAGACCAGCTTGTGCTGGTTTTTTTTTCAGCAGGGTGAAAAACTCAATTGTTCCATGAACTGCTGTGGCCTCTGCTATTGTTCTTTTGTAGTGGCTTGTGCCTCTGTTCTGCTCTCAGCTCTAAGTGGGCTAATATTTTTAGCAGCGCCCCATTTCTGAAGAGGCTTGACATCGTTGGTTCTATTCTAGTGGCTTTGTGTGATTAGACAAAGCCTTCGCAAAAATGACCTCTTCTAAATGTACTACCACAAGCAAAGATAAAAAACTTGTCTCATACAGTACAGGGTTAGAGCTCTGTATAACATGCGCAAGTGTAGCTCAATGCACAGGCCAGTTCAGTTTCAAAAACTCACTAGTTTTGTCCCTGTTTTGCTCTGTTTTACTGAAATGAAAACTGGGTTGAGGTCCGCGATAAAGTCGCCCTCTTGCAGGTTTTTAACCCAAATCCGTCTGCACCATTGCAAGAGAAGCCACTATACTGACTAGAAAATGTGCCCAAGCTGCATTGGACCGACTGGGAACTATACAGGGTCATTCCTACGTTTCAAGGGTTCTGTGTTCTCCCAGGCCTTTTATTCTCTCATTTAAATTTCTAGATAACAATCCTGTTTCCTGGTCCCTGGGTTTCCTTTTTTATTTATTTATTTTTTTTTAGAAAATTTTAGAAAAGCCCTATATTCGTAGGGTCCTATGTTCCCTCATTGAATTTTTCATGGGAAATAATTTTATGTTCCAATGTTGCCTCAGTCATATTTCTTCAAGATTAAAATAAGAGTAATGTCCATACATCACCATTTATCCTTACGCCATCTCCAGTTCGTTACTTTATTCTGATGACTTGCTAGTTAGCAAGCAAAAGGTTAATTAACTAGTGCATCACACTTAAACCAGACAAATTATTTAACCCCTTAAATGGCCAGGGAACAAAGTTTTACTACACACTTCTATGACCTAAGAATAGCTCAGCCAGTTTGCAGTGAAGTTCCTGTAGTTACTAAATAATGAGCCCTAGTAATAAGCCTGGGATTTTAAGGAGTTAAAAAGTTGATGTGTTATATACTCTGACTAACAAAGTTTGTTAAGTCAGCTAATTAGCTAAAAAAAAGCTGAAAAATCTGCTCCTCATTGTTCCCTGTAAGACCTCTGATGACCGAAAGACATGATTTTTAATCTCCAAACCTCAGTTCGTTCTTCATTCACATTAGCTCTTTCTCCTGCATCTTGTTTTCTTGTTGCTCTGTGCTATTAATAAAGTATTGGGCTTCACTCTTCCAATTGTTCTAAAGGATTCATCTTGACCGTGTGGAGTTGTTTAGCCAGCAGGGAGTTCTGAAGGTTCGAGTGATGTTTGTTTGCCATCTGAAGCCCTAGAATGACCCAGAGGATTTAAGACAGCACAGCTGCCAACAGCAATGCACTGTGGGTATGAGATGAGCTGATACAATCATGCAGATCCGGGATTTAAGAATGGAGCTCACTTTATCTCTCTCTCTCTCTCTCTCTCTCCTCATTGAAGAAAAAGAAAATGCAGTGTTACATTGAAAAAACTTCCAATTACTTGAACCTAAATCTTAAGTTATTACTTTTATCTTGTATATGCTGTTCCAATGTTATTAAAAGAATTACACTTTTACTTCGTCAAGTAATTAATTATATTTACATTTGACATTCTGTATCAATAGGTTTGAGTGTGCACTTTTTTCTTTTTGTTTCAGTTTTAAAACAAGGACACAAAATGATGCAAATCAGCTACTTAAGTGAAAACAGCACCCCTCTTGTGGAGAATCTCCAGCTTGCTAAACATGAGTAAATGAGTTACAAGTCCATTCCTTAAGGTCTTTCTCGTCTAAAAATGAGAAAAAAAAAAAACATGCCAAAAAAATAAAGGATGGTAGATTAAATATAACATTAACTTTATTAAATTAATAACAACCATTACAAATGTGGCATTGAAAGACAATTTTTTAAATACATAGATATAAACAAGTTGTCTCTAACTGAAAGAACGCAACAAAAGGTTATGACCCTTTTGACCTCTGTGGTGGAAATTTCTAATTGTATACAGTGTGCAGAAGATTTTTTTGTAACATCAGTTGTGATTTAGACCTCTTTCACGAGCAGCTCATTTACATAAACATAACTTTATGTTAGCTATGCGTAGGCCTGAGGGCAACTGTCTAACTGTACGTTCACATCAGCATGCGACAGGCAATTTCATTCATTTAATTCATTTTCTATAGGAGTTGCAGATTTGTAGCCGCAATTTAGCAACAGGCAACAAGTTGAGTTGATGTTTTTCAACTTTATGCAAATTAACTATGAAGCGGCAACCTGAATGATTGGCTCAAACTAATTCCTCAGACTAATTCCTTGGTAACTGTTGGCTCAATCATCGATCATGTCCAATGATGTTACGTTAGCAGCGGTTTGAAAAAGTTGTGACGGCGCTTCACATGTCTTGGAGGAAGCATGTGCTAATGTGTAACTGTGTAATGGAGGAGGCTTAACTATCGGGTAGAATTGCCAATGAAATTGGAGAGAAAATTGGGGGTTAAAAAACTATATTATACATGTGGTCAGAAGGAGCGGTGGTTTTGCATACATCTACAAGATTAAGCTTAACTAAAACAGTAGAGTCAGTATACTGCAATATGATGTGATGTCAGCAGCAGACTGAACGGCCACTTCTGCCATCTGTTTCTGCCATCTTCTTAAGATGAACACTAACATAGGCCCAGTCACCTTCCTGCAGTCCACAATTGCATGTGCATGGATAACAAGACTGTAGGGTGTCCCATTTCTCATTTTGCTGTTCAAAGGGGTGCTCAGGTGTGCACCCTCTAACCGTCCTTTCATGCGCCCTTACTGCGAGGACCACATTGATGCAGCAGGAGCCTGTTAAAATACCATGAAATACAGGCGATGACCAATCAAAGTGGATGGTTTCAGATTTGAGTAATACATTTGTACATTAATTTAATTATGCTTGTAGTCTGAATTTAGAAACTTCAGATCAGAAATTTAGCTGCATGTCGCACAAGTTTGTCCCTAATGCACACATTGAGGTCTCTTGCCCTGGGCATAAATGTTTGGTGGGCCCCTACTCAGCTATCTTTTTGGGTGATCAGAAGCAGGTAAAATGATGGCTATGCCACCAGGTATGTCACCACTATAAACTTATTTTGTTTTCCAATTCAAGACAAAACAATAGCAAGATGCACACATTGATGAGAGCATAGGTTAATACAACAAACCCAATAACCAAT